CGCCGCTGGATTGTTCCCACACGAAGACGCATTTCACTACGTCATCGGGGCCTTGCGGCAGACACGTGCACAGCTTCAGTTTGGCGTGTGCCCCTTGCACGTGCTAGGAACAATATCGCATGAAAATCTGCGCATGACGTGAGCGACATACCTGCACCGAAAACACAGCGCCATGTAGTGGGGCAAACAGGAACGACACAAACGAAGCGTGTGTGGAAGGGCTTCGAGGCGGTCGTAGTATCGGCGACTTGAAGACAGCGTAGAGTTGGGCGACACATTCGTCGAATGCCAAATCTTTGCGCTGGGTTTTGTGCAGGATGTGAGCCAACGACAATTCCAGCTCTGGGTTCACTGCGTCCGCCCAAGGTGCTGCAAAGCAGTCGATAAATTGCAAGCAGTTGAGAGGCGTTGGTTGCTTCGCGGTGGCCTGGAAGCCGTAGATACTGCGCCACTTCGTCATGCGAGTGAAGACCTCGTCCTCGTCGTCGAACAAAGCGGGCGAAAACGGCTTGGTCGTCACTTCCTACGACAACAAACATCCCCCCGATCGATGAAAAAAGCCACCCCACCTTGGATGGTCACGCAACGGACACGCCATGCCGAGCAACGTGTGGGACGAACCTGTTCGAGGTCGACAAACCCCTGAGCTAGGCGCAATTTCCATTCGAGGTTGAACAGAAAGAGCAAATCCGCAAAGTTCGCCTGGGTCTCTCCCCACTCCCTCCCTTGCCTTGCGACCTGGAATCGAAGTCACATGCGTCGTTGTCCTTGACATGGTCCGCTTACCTCGAGCAGGATCGTGAGAGTATCTCGATGGAAGGACGCGTGAAGTGCTCCCATCTTTTGCTCATGCAGAGTTTCGACCACCGATTCAACTCCTTCGATCGTCTTGAGGCTCTTCATCTGGTCGAGGACAGTCGCCGTCAAGCTTGGCTTGGTCAAACATTTCTCGATCCCATCGATCAACTGATGCACGATGTACGACTCGTGCTCCCCCTTGGCCTAGTTTTGCAGTCTCAGCCATTCATGGTCAAACAATCCACTTACTCTTGACTTGTACTGGACTTCTGTCGTGATGCTGTTCGCGTCGAGCTCCACTTGGTACACAGCACTCTCGCCGCTGGATTGTTCCCACACGAAGACGCATTTCACTACGTCATCGGGGCCTTGCGGCAGACACGTGCACAGCTTCAGTTTGGCGTGTGCCCCTAGCGGCAAACACAGCACCCGCGGGCCGTGGCGAGCTCGCCAAACTTCGACAAGACCTCGCCTCGCCGAGTAGAATACCATGTACAGACCGTCGTTGTGTGTCATCCAGCCGCACTGGGCATCGCGATATCTACTCAAAGCTCAAATTTTACAACGGCTGGAGGCACACATACCCCTTCCAGAGCCGAATAACTAGCATCGACGTTGTGTCAATGAGAAATATGCGACCCAACGTGTCCGGGACAAGGGCCAACTTTCCGTTCGGGGACACATTGAGGTCCCGTGCGCGGCGGCGATGACTGTCTGGCATTCCCAATGCCACATGAATACCTAAATCGGACGGGACGGCGTCGACCGTATCGTTGACTTTGTCTTGAGGCCATCCCCAATTCTTCGCCAGCGACCAAACAGCACCGGCGGCGCGCGTCGCCACGGCGCTGGCTAGATGCGCAATTCGGAACAACGACGTGCCTTCGTGACCTGGCAGAGGATACAGGAGACGATGGAATGTCGAGAACGTACCAGCGTGGTAGAACCCGACAACGGGGTCACACCCAACAGCCATAAATGTCTGGAGACCCGCCCGGGGTTGTGACTGGAAGAGAGACGCCGGACGGGTGACCGCGCAAGGAAGCATGCCGATGATGTCGCGTTGGCCGTTGAGACTGTATTTTCGCCAGTATCGTTTCGGTGCCATCGAGTCCACAAGTTCCCATTCGATCACCACCAACGTCATGTCGACGAACAGCACGTACAATTCGCGAGTGTTTGGCTTGGCAGAATGGAAATTCCATTCGAGTCGGGCCACGGCGCCGTGGTGGCACTGCAACGCGAAGAGCACACCGCCAGAACGGTTGTACACGCACACGTCCCCGTTCGAATAGCCCAGTGCCACATCATACGTGTTTTCTGCTGTAAGTGCAGTGTGGAAGCGACCCGCAGTGGGCCTAATTGTCGAAATATCGCTGTCCTGTCGCTCAGCCAAGGTATCGGTCTGCACAGCAGGTTGAAGCTGGACTTCATCGCGTCCACTCGGTGCAAGCAACCATTGCTTCTTTGTGCTCTCTTCATACGCGCATGCCCATAGGTCGGGAGCTACGTCGAAGATGGCACTCACGGCGTATCGATACGTTCCGAGTTCTCGCATTTGTCGGCGATCTGCGCTGCGAAATCTTGGCGACCGACGTGACTGACAGAAGGAACCGTCCGGATAATCTCGTTAACATTGTCGTGCTACTAGTACTATTTTTTCTCGTGGAAAGAAAATACATGAGCATTCAATTTTGCACAGTAATTTTTAAGAGAAATCCGGATAACGTTGCATTACGCGTCGCGTCCCAAAGCATGCACAACATTCGGTCGGAGCTGAGCTTCCTCGACCGCAACCTCACGTACGCAAAGGAACGCGGCTTCGTCTATCCAAATGCAGGGCGCGTCACCATTTTACAAGACATCGCGGACGTCGGTGGAACGGTACAGCTCTTGAACACTCCAACGTTGACCTCAAGTGGAGTCACTAGGTGTGGGATGCCAGCATTGTCTTGAGCCACTACTTGGACAGCTTGGGCACCACGTAAGCAACAGCAATGCAAGGAATTGAATTATATAATTGTGCGATATACCTCTAGTGTATTGCAGGGAAAGTCGCTCGTCGAGCTTGGTGCAGGGACAGCCGTGCCAAGTACGACGCACGCAAGAAATCTTGGTGGTTTGCACGACTGACGACCTTTCTAGGCATTGTGGCATCGCGTCTCGGCGCCCGTGCTGTAGCCACCGACATGAAACAGGTGCTACTCTACACTGAAATGGCCATTCGCGGCAATTGCGATCAACTCCACCGGAATGGGAGGATTCGATGGCAAGAATTGATATGGGGTGCCTCTGGTGTCGGTCTGGAAGCGTTAAAGTCGACTGCATATGACTACATTGTTGGGGCAGACATCGTGTACAACGTCGAATTCTTCGAAGATCTGATCGAAACATTGCTGGCACTCTGTCCGATGGCGCTGGACCACGTCGAGCACCCGCATCCGACAACAATACTGCTCTGCTTTGAACAACGAAGAAGAAACCTCACGCCTCTTTGGGCTGCGATGGAAATGCATTTTCACGTCGACATGGTAACCAGCCCCATGCTCGACGCATGCAGACACGAGGCCAACGTGTTTTTGTATCAATTACGACGAAAACGTTAACAACATTGTGCAAGTGCCCCGACACAACGTCCTTCGAACGGCACGTTAATATCGACCAGAGACATCGACATGCCTTCAGACCGACCTCGAGTCACATTCCATGACGTCTGGTGAAGTTTGGAATCAAGGGACAGCCGACGATGTTTCTCATGCCTGCTACCGCCGCTGAATGACCGTAAGCCGAGCTCCTTGGTAGAGAGGGGTGCGCCAGACTCGTCCCAAAGGTGTGTGCCGAGAGTTAGATGGCGCCTCCGCGTGAACCTGGCGCTGCTTTTAGTTTGGTTCGAAAATGCCCAATAATAATGTTAGACAGAAATTTTTCCATCTACTATTAGTAATAGTATTGCTTCGATTTTTATTTATTTTCAAGTTTCTAGGGTCCATTCTGGTTGGAATTTGGGGGGGTGAATAAAATAGTGTCGATTTCAATAGTCCACAACATCCAAGGCAACAACCACCATGAGTACTCTGGCCGCGTCGTTCCTAGAAGACTTGGATGAACTCAGCGGCAGCAGCGAAGAGGAGGAAGATTTGAGACATGAGGAAGACGACGATGATGTGGATATGGACAACGAAGACGCGGAAGCCGTGGCTGCCGCAAAGCAAAAGCAACTGGATGTGGATGCGTTGCTCAAAGCAGCGGCAAACTCGGGGGCGGGTCTCGCTGCCGTTGCCCATTTGCGTCGGTCCGAATTCTACAGACAACACTTGGAGTCGGTGAAGATGTACATGCAGAAGGAAGCCACTGCCGATACGTTGACGCAAGACGCCCCTGAGTACAAGCTCGTTGTGGCATCCAACGATCTCATGGTGAAGTTGGATGACGAAATCATTGCTGTCCACCGATTCCTCGTCGAGATGTATGCAAAGAAGTTTCCAGAGCTTGAATCCCTCGTCCCTGGTCCCTTGGACTATGCTCGTGTTGTGCAACGTATCGGGAACGAAATGGACATGACCCTCGTTGATCTCTCGTCGCTCCTGCCCAGTGCCACCGTCATGGGTGTGTCGGTGACAGGGTCTACCACTTCGGGCAAGCCACTCTCCTCCAGCGACCTCGCTATTGTCGAAGAAACATGCACCGAATTGCTCGAGCTTGACAGCGACAAACTCCTTGTCCTTCGGTTCGTTGAAAACCGCATGAACTTCCTCGCCCCAAATCTCTCGGCGCTCCTCGGTACGCGTATCACGGCGCAGCTGGTGGGGTTGGCGGGCGGCGTCGACGAGCTTAGTCGCATTCCGTCGTGCAACATTCAAGTGCTGGGCCAGCGGAAGCAGGTGCTTTCGGGTTATTCGTCCATGTCAACATTAAAGCACACGGGCATCCTCTTTGGATGTGAACTCATTCAGTCCATCCCACAAGACCTCCGTCGAAAGGCGAATCGCGTCGTGGCTGGGAAAGTCGCGCTCGCTGCCCGCGTGGACTCCCAACCTCACCGGACCGCGACCATCGGCCAGCAGTTTTACAAAGAATTGCAAGAAAAGTTTGAAAAGTGGCAACAGCCCCAGAAAGCCAAGACCAAGAAGGCACTCCCTCGGCCCGATGAAAAGCCGCGACGAAAGCGGGGCGGAAAGCGGTATCGAAAGGTGAAGGAGCGCACGCAGCTCACGGACGTCCGCCGCGAGTGGAACCGGCAAACGTTTGCAGCATCGGGCGAAGAGTACGGGGACAACGCGATGGGCATCACAGTCGGTCGATTGGGTGCCGAGGGTTCCGGCCAATTGCGCGTGATCAAGAAGGCGCAGAAGCAGACGCTGCTCAAGCTCAAAGCTGCAAGCTTTGCATCTCAGAAGAATCACCAGCAGTCGGGCCTTGCCACGTCGCTGGCGTTCACGCCAGTGCAAGGCATCGAGCTCATGAACCCGTCTGCCGCGGCTGAACGAGTTCGCGAGGCCAACAAAAAATACTTCAACGCACAAAATGGCTTCGTGTCCACCATTAAAAAGTAACCCGGGGCCCTCCTCCGACCACATCAACAAGGCAATTGTTTGCTTGCCATCGATTGGAAACGAAATGTGGCTTTCTATACCAGCATTCTTCCCTGCACTCTGTCGTCGAGTTGGATTCATATGCGTGTCCCTGCCTTGTGTCGGAGCAGTCGTGCTCTCGAAGTCGCGAGAGGGGAGATGGACTTGATGGACTTGAGCGACGAGCACTGATTGCAACACAACCAGGGAGTGCATTGAAATCTTGTGGCGTTGTAGGGTTCATATCATGGTGGTGTATTAAAAGTACGGCTGATACTTTTGCTCGTAAATGAAGCAATACCGCGAGATATCCCGGGTGTGATCTGGTCGAGTGACGCGATGCAGCGTTCCAGGCACGCGTCCATCTGTCGCTCGGGTCAATGCCTTACCACAAAAGAGAACCCATTCTTTGTGCGGTGTACACACTTGCTCGACAGACAGCCACTGACCAGAGTGCGGGTCGAACACGTCGAGCCCCGCCACGTCCGTCACGGGCTCGATCACGTACAGACTTGGATCGATGTGTTCGAAAACGTTTTCGCTGTTCGATTGCCCTGTGCCGACTTTGTTGGGATAGTGCAGACCGTAGCACACGGACAGATCTTCTCCCGCCGATTGGTGCGCATGCGCAGAGTCCGTGATGTACCCGAGCGTTAACGACAAACTTTTGTCACAAATCGATTGGCACACCTTGAGCTACGACGAAATGACGTGGAATATGAGTCCAACGAATAGTCTGGAATAGGCAACTGTACGAGGGCAAGGTACTTTTCTTCAAAGTCTGCGCTGGGCCATTGCATGCGCGAGAGATCTCCCGCGTGGGCGCGAAAGCATTCGCGGACGTGGGTGCATTCGTACCCAGCATACCACATGGGCGTCTTGTTCTCGTTGCGGTATATGTACTTGCTTGTGCACACGTCTTTGCATGCACGGTCTTGCTCAAAGAATGCCTGCATGGCGGCACGCAAGTCCGTGTACAGAGCCTCCACCCTTTCACCAAGATCGGTCAACACCACAAATGTATGCCGTTCCATAAGTTCGTTGAACAGCGCTTTGTTTTTCCAGGTCAAGTCCTTCAGCTTCATGCGAGGACCGGGTTTCTGCGGAGTCGACGTTGTCTTGTCTGAATTCTCTGGTGCCATCACAGTCTTTTCAGCAGTCGCACTACCAACGCTTGCAGGCTTGCGTGCTCCATGCTCCAAGCAGTAGTACTGGAACGCGAGTGGCAGCGCTTCCATCTCGGGCAGCGTTGGCATCGAATCCACTTTGTCGAGTTTTTGCGCTGTCGCCTGCGATTCATATCCTGTGAAAATGAATGTCAAGGGTACCTGGATATCGAGTATTAAAGGTCCACTGCGAGGTTCAACTTGACCACCAACGAAACAAATTGGGGCACCATGATGCATCGGGTTTTGCAAGTATGGCATGTTTTTGAGCGGCACCAGCAGCTTCCACGCGGTGGGCGAAGTCTCTTGAAGAGGTCCTTTGCCAAGAAAGCCATACGAGACCCTCAGCCCGTGGATCTCAATGACGACGGCTTTGACGACGACGACTACGACGACGACGAGTTCGATGGAGACGAGTACGACTTCGACGACTTGGACGATGGCGACGTCGATTTTGACTTGGAAGACGAGATAGACGGCATGGAAGCCTTTGACGAGTCCATGGGAGACAATGCGAACGTCAAGGAGGAGGTGAAGAAAAAGGTCAGCGTCCGGCGAGCGAAACACTCCAAGCGAAAGTTCATCGACCGGATTCGCATTCGCGTCAAAGGAGGCATGGGAGGCAACGGGTGCACCAGCTTTGTGAGTACGATTGCATCATTCTTTTCAACAAACGCGCAAGCGACTTATGCGCTCTCCTTAGTGGAAGGCCCAGGACAAAAACGACCAAACGGAGGCCATGGCGGCGCCGGTGGCGACGTAATCATTCGCGTCGATCCTCGACTGCAAAACTTGTACAAGCCAACACATCATTATAACGGAGGCGATGGCTGGAACGGAATGCGTAAGACTCTCACACTTGGCTTGAGATCAATTAACGTTGGGCTCCTCCAGCAAACGATCGTGCTGGCCGCCGCGGTAGCGATGTGGTCGTGACGGTACCGCCAGGCACTATCGTCAAGCAAGTTGAGCGGGTATGTACTGGAATACTCGTTGTGTCATGTTGACCAAAACGAATTGTAGTTTGAACGATGGAATGATGAGCTAGACGACTACGAGACCGTAGATCGGCTGGAAAACTTGGTGGACTTGGACCGACCTGGCGCTGAGTTCATGGCTGCCGTGGGCGGCAAACCAGGTTTGGGCAGTCGAATCTTGGCGGGCAAAACCACCAAGTTTGGCGGACTGCGCAAAGTCATGGTAAGCGCAATTGCCGTGGCGATTTTAGTGGGCTAGACGACAGCATTGTAGCCTGAAGGCAAGAACGTGGGAGCAATGGGCACGTCGAACTACCTTGAATTGGAGCTCAAAACGATCGCCGACATCGGGTTGGTGGGGTACCCCAACGCAGGCAAGTCGACGCTGCTGCGATCGCTGTCGAAAGCGACCCCCGAAGTGGCGCCTTATCCGTTCACGACGTTGCATCCCAACGTCGGTGTGGTTGAGTTCCCTGTACAGCAGCTTCAGCATGTGCAAATTCTGTCAACCTGATGGGGTCCTTTTGTAGGACACGTACCGCTTCAGTGTGGCCGACCTGCCTGGGCTCATTGAAGGAGCCCATCGCAACGTGGGCCTCGGTCATTCCTTTCTGAGGCACATTGAGCGCACCAAAGTATGCCTTGCCAATTGTACCGATCCATGTCCTCTTGTTGTTCATATCTGTGGGTAGGTGTTGCTGTATGTCCTCGACACTGCTGGCACGGAAGGCCGAGACCCCGTGGAAGACTTCTACCATTTGCAGAATGAGCTGGAGCTATACGCACCCAACATTACGTCTCGCCCATCGTTGATTGCTGCCAACAAGATGGATGCGCCAGGTCTGGCTTGGCTTTGATTGCCCGCTGCTCATGATATCTGCGGCGTGGTGTGTAGGGGCTGACGTGAACCTGGGACGTTTGAAAAAAGCGGTGCAGTTGCCAGTGGTGCCTTTGAGGTATGCCTCGTCGGCGAACTCGTTGAGTGGACATTGATGATGTCTTGAAACTTGTGTAGTGCCTTGCATAAGGTGGACATCAAGATCCTGGCGTCGTCTGTGCGCTGGATGATCGAAAACTACAAGTCCATCGAGGACTAACTGCGTATTTCAATGGTTAGCGCGTAGCGTAAGCGAGCCGTCTTGCTGAAGGTCGTGTGGAGGGTTAGCTGGGTCGCATTGGCTGGGGTTTTAGTGATTGATAGCACTTGAGGGTGCCACACCATCAAATTGTACGAAAAGTTTGACCGGATGCATCTCATTGGCCAAAATACACCATACCTCACGTCAGGATTGGCTAATGAGCTTCTTTTCACGAATCACTCAAGTTTTCCGACACGGCCACATGCCGCAGAGGCCAGCCACCACTCCAACACAGTTTTCTACGACCGAACACAACTAGCCGACCATGATGCGCACGTTCATGAGCCACCCGACGCTCAGCGCCAACTGGAGTGGCGAGTACGAAGAGAAGTCTGCCGAATGGTTTGAGCTGTTCCTCGACTTGATTGTTGTGGCGGCATGTTCGAACGTGACTGAGAAACTCAAAGAGGACTTGACCCCTTACGGCCTTGTGCACTTTGTTGTCCTCACGAGCATGTACACCAGTAGTTGGACGTTGTATACGAGCTTCCATGCTCGATTCAATGAGAAGTCCCTGCTGCATTACCTCTGGCTGTACGTTTGGTTCGCTGGCCTCGGCGGCATGGTCCTTGCGGGGGAGCCGAGCACCGCATTTACAATTGGTCTCATCCTCATTCGCATTGCCCAATTGCTCATGTACACGACCGTGTACGTACTACTCCCTCAAAGCCGCTGCACGACCAAAGTGGACATGGTTTTTGTCGTGTTCAGCGTTGTGACTCTCTGCACCACGTTTGTGTTTCCCGAGGCGTGGACCGTTCCGTTGTACGCCGGCGTGTTGGTGTGGGAAGGTATCGTTCGGTTTGTGGCAGCTGCCCAGGGGTGGCTTCAGACCAAAGACTCGATTCGAATCCCGCTCAACATCGACCATTTCAACGAACGCGTGGGTTGCATGGTCATGGTGGCTCTTGGCGAAGCAGTCGTGAGCACGATCATCAACTTCAAGGACCCGTCGCTCCTTACTGCGCGTTTCTTCTTCATGATGCAACTTGGACTGCTCGTGATCTTCACGATGGCCATGTTCTACTTTGCCATTCAGCCGCCCCGCGAGTTTCACGCGATGCGTCGATCCGTGTACGCTGGCATCACCTTTTCGTGGTTGCACCTGTGTTTATACCCCACGCTCTTGGTCATTGGGGTCAGCCTCAAGCTCATCACGGACGCCGTCGTGGCCGACGAACGGCTCGAATCCACGCAAATGTGGTGGTTGTTTGGATCGCTTTCGGCTGCATTGACAAACATGCTGTGTATTCGTCTCGCGCACTACGGCGGTCGCCACCCCGCTCCAACAGACCCTGACTGCGTCAAAACGATCAAGTACACTTGGTGGGTTGTTGCTGGCGTGGCCCCGGTCGTGCCGCTTGTGCTTGGTGCAGGGCTGCAAGGGTTTTTCGGCGATACGGTCGATCCGATTTACGCCCTGCTCGTAGCTGCAACATTTAACGTGTCGTTTGTGATTTTGGAAACGGCCGTCATGAACAAGCTGGTGAAGTTGGGCCATGGCAAGCTCGGTGGTAACAACGAGCACACCCCCTTGGTGAAGTCGGTGGAGTCCCACTAAGGTTCAATACAGACACCTCGAGTCTTGCATCCGAGCGACTGGCAGCACGCAGTGGACCTTGTCTACTACAACGACGTGGGGAAAGTGGCCATCTTGACCGAGTTTCCTGCAGCTGCCAACGAACTGTTCGGCCGGAGTAGACGAGTGTTGTCGTGTACGTGTTTTCGTTCGCGACCTTTCAAGATCGACCGAGCGATAGCCAAGCAACCAATCAAATCCAGCGTTGAAATCGCACAACGATTGGTCCATTGGGACGCTGGAGAGATTTCGATTATGACACGAGATGCTGCCGGCGACTTGACCAACTTGGGGATCTGCCGTGACTTGCTGGACAACCAGGAGGCCACAAAGTCGATTCTCATCGTGGGCGACGGCAACTTTTCCTATGCTTGTGCGTTTGTTCGAAGTGTGCTGAAGTTCGACCCAACTGGCGACGTCCTTGGCCGGATGCACATCCGTGCAACGTCTCTCGACACTCACGAAGAGCTTCTTCGCATGTATCCAGGCGCGGCAGCGCATTTCCAAGAGCTTCACGGTCACAGCACTGTCCGTGTACTACATGGCATCAACGGAACGAAACTCGACGAATGCAAGGACACTCTCGGCATCTCGTCGTTTGACCGTATCGTGTTCAACTTTCCGCATTACGCAGAAGGCGGCAACAAGCGAAACAAGATCAACAAACATCGCCAGCTCCTGACTCAATTCTTTCAAAGCTGCACGTCAGTCTTGGCGAGCGATGGCCAAGTGTGGGTCACATTGTGTGCTGGGCAAGGCGGCACCCCCGAAGAAATAATTGTGCGGCCCGTGGGAGATACGTGGCAAGTGGCGCAATGTGCCGCGTCCGCAGCGCTCATGCTGTTCCATGTGCACCCTGTACCGACGGACGCGCTGTTCAAGCTAGGGTATAACAGCGTGGGTCACCGATTACAAGAGAAAGCGTTCCGCACACACGATAGCTTGACCCACATCTTTTGCCGCGAGTCGTTGGGAATCCTGGCGCACCATCCTCTGACGTGGACCCGTGACATCAGCTTTTGGATTGGGGCAGGTTTCACCGAAGACAAAATGGCTCACGTTGTCGAAGACGTGTACGGCCCCAAAGTCGACGTGTGCCTGGAGCACATCGATGAGTACACAAACGACCAAGGGCGGTACGCCAAAGGCTATCGACTAACCCTGTCGTCCAGGACGATGGCTCTCTCAAAGGAGTATGTGAACACCAAGACAGACGAAGTTACCGACGTGCTAGACATCTACGAGTGGTGACACTCGCGGGTCAAATGAAATACACCATCTCCATTTTCCGCGATGTCCAGTTTCTGTAGCATGCAAAGACTGTTCGGGCCAGCGTTCGTCCCTTCGGGACCATCGCGCAATGCCAGGTATACCTCGTCATCTCTTGAGACGCGATCCAGCGATCGCTTTCCCCGCGAACTAGCGCCATCATCACCCGACCTGAGTTGTGCACACAATGTATTCATGTTGCAGTATGAAATTGAACCGACATTCTCTACATTGAAGTCAAAGGAGGAAAAGCACGATAATGAATACCAGATCGCTTTCTGTGCCGTAAAACGGAAACGTGATCATGCACCGCTGCACCGTGCTTGTGGTGGCCACCTTCCTCGTGCTTCCGCAGGTCGTACTCGGCGTGGATGCGCTGCCTTGGACCACCATTCCACAGTTGTCCGCAACTCCAACCACAAGGACTGCGGCAGTCGCGAAGCCGACGATATCCGCGCCGAGCGATTGGACATACGAGGATCCAGCGACGACTGAATATGGTGCGGGAAACACGACGACAAACTCGTCAGGGAATCGCGTCGATCACCCTGCTACAATTCGCCTTCCCGTGTCAACCACAGCATTCACATCAAGTGGTATGCCGTTCGAGCCACCAACTGTGGAGCCCATGATGCCACCAACTCGACATGGAAATGACACCATCAACACTGTCCTGCCAGTCTCCATTGCGTTCGTTGCAGTGGCATTGTGTCTTGTGACTGTGGTGCTCTATCGACGCAATCAAAAGGCCCAGGTCGATCAACCTCAGCCACCATGGCTGCATTCGTTATCGAGTGGGCCGCCTACAACGGCATTTAAGTACACCGACACGGCGTCATTCGCTCCATATCACCCGAGCCTAGACACTTGCAACCTGTACAACGACGACGAAGTCTCGATGGTGGGGCCACTCTTTCTCAGCGAAGTCTCGTCCCTTGCGAGCCTCGATGTCGACTCAACTAGGTTCATGGAAATGGTACGCATGAAGGTACATGTGAGTCCTCCACAATGACCTGTGCCGATACGGACTTTATTCCGATCGAAACTTATCGGCTGGTTTTCGTGCCAGGCATGTTTCCTAACGTGAATACAATTCGACCAAAGTCCATTTTCTCAAGTTTCCACCCAGATACTAGCCTTCCACGCGCCCCAAAACCCAGGACACCCCTCTTCCAGTCTGATGGGGCGAATGCAAAGCTTACGTCCGGGGTGATGTTGCTTCTGCAGTGGTGAACTGTCGCGAACCACTGAAAGGTACACGCAGTACGAATCTCCTCCTCAGCTCTGACAGATGACATGACAGGGCGAAATTACTATATAAGGGAAATACATGAACGATGTGCAGCGACTTTGGTTGCTTTTTCACCAATGAGTGGGATCGTACCTCGACATGCACCATGTTTTTCGCGAATTTTAGCCAATCGACGCTAGTATACCTCATCCACCACACTCTCACCACAAACGCGCGACCCAAACAACCCCGGCACACATCCCAGACCCATGCCGCGAGATACTGGTGGACGCTGGCGATGCCTTGGTTGAACGTGTCCAGGCAGCCAGGGCTCGAAGGAATCCACTGGCCGTGGTAGCGGGCGCCCGGAGCGACCCGACGCCGCGCGACTCCCATCGCTCCATGGATCCCCGCGTTGTACGAAGTTGTTGCCGCGTTGCATGGTGCGCTGGATGTCCCGTTGGCTGATTGACATGTCTGTATCTCTTCTCCACGTTTGAAAGTCCGGCCACGAGCAATACTCAACGACCGGTCACACGCCACGAGCCTTGCCTGGCGACTCGTCCACGTCCGCCTTGGCCAGAGGCTCCGCCAGCCAAAGACACGCCCGCGTGCACCTTGCATCCGCTTCCCACCAACGAAAAAGGGCAACTTGACTTTCCGTGTTGGTGTCCAGATGCAACTCTCCTCGTTCAAGTAAAAGTCCCACCATGGGGATCCTCGTTATCAGAGTATGGATGGGTGCGAGGTTGGTTCGATCTGTGTGCGCTTGGCATTTTCGTAGTTGCTGCCGCAACTCCACGACTTCTGATACGCCATGGTGGCCGTCCTCAAGTCCATGCTCGCTCTTGTACTGGTGGCGTCGGTTGCAGGGCAAACCACCCCCAACCCGTCGCCCTCGAGCAGCCCCCCCACTCGTCCGCCTGACACAACCCCATCGCCCACAACGGCCCAAATGACGACGATTGCCCCCACGACGGCAGTTCCAACGACCACGACGCGGCCGTGGACGACACCAGTGGTAACGACGACTACCGTCCAGCCACCAACAACAGCCGCGCCGCAAACGACAGCAACTACAGCGCCTACCAAACCACTCACGGAAGCCGTCATGACCACGGCGGCCCCGCCTACGACAACGATTCCCGCCACACCCGAACCAACGTCTGAAAGCACGCAAGAGCCGGCGCCCGTCAAACAAGCCATGGCAACTACAGTCGCTCCCGACTCCAGTTCCTCGGACTCGTTCAACGTGACAACAATTGTCCTTGTGACAGTCCTCGCAGGTGCCTTGGTTGTCGCGGCTATTCTGGTCTACCGGCGGCGCCTGCGGGCGGCGCAGGCGGAGCGGACCACGAAAATCAGCTACCCTCTGTCCCCCGGGCACATTTTCTCGTCGTCGACGCCGTACTCGGAAGTGTTCATCCGACCGAGCGAGATCATGTCGCCATGGAGCGACGGTTACGAGTCGGCGCGATTCCAAGAAATGGTCCGCACCCGCGTTAACTTGTCTTAGATTCCGTCGGGCATCATTAATTTAACATCGCTTTCATTGTCCATGGCTACAGCTCGTGCTCGCCGTTAGCCTGGCGTGCGGCGCACAGCAATGAATTGGTTGAGCGGACGGCCATGGTCCGAGTCGGACTCGAACACGTTCAGCAACACGTCAAAGTCTTGTGCAAACAACGTGGCCAACTCATCGCGGCGGAGAATGTCGCGGGGTTTGGAAGGATGCTGCCATCGCCATTGACCGTCAGCTGGCATGGCAAAGTGCGACCAGGCAAAGATACCACCGACAGGCAGGACGTCGCGCACGACGGTCAGGAGATCTCTGTGGAGAAACCGGCAACCAAAGACACATTGGACGTCGCTCTGGTGGCGTTCCAGCATGCGCTGGACCGCATCCAGCTTGCGGAGGTCCATTTGGACAAAGGAGTACGCATCATGCACTCGTCGTCGCCTCGCGAATGCCGTCGTTGTAGCCATGCCTGTCTTGTTGTGATCAACTCCACAAAACCGCCATGACGTGGCGCCTTGAGCTTGCAACTCCTCTGCGAGGAACATAATATCTCGGCCCGAGCCGCAACCGAGGTCGAACACGACTGGAGATGGCGTTGGCGCTGATGCTGCAGTGGTTGCTGCTTGTATCAAGCGAGGTAGTAGATGCGTCATGAGACTGTTCGGAGTCCACAACCTTGCAAGTGGATAAGGACGAGGGGTGTCTGGAGCCGCGACGATGGCCAACTTGAGAGCTGCGGCACGTGTGGCGGGAGTGTCCAGGACGTAGAACTCGACTTGCCATGGGTGTTTGGTTGGGTGGAGATCGGCATTGGTGAACCAGTCGACTTGGTCGTCTGCATTGGCAGGCGAGCACAGCAGCGCGAACCGTGTGGATCGAGACGGGTATTCTAGGACATGGCAAGTCAGCACTGGACGAATAGCGCCCATCACGGCGCACCCACCATGCGAACGCAGCTTTTGCTCGGACCACGGAATGTTCACCTAGAGTTGCCCATCAGCACGTCGACAAACTCTGGTACAAGTGGCAACCACAACGTTCGAAGTAAACTCGTACGTCAGCTCAGACTGCTCTCTCAAGTCGAGGAGAAAGATTCCCGCCGCATGCCATGCCTCGAGCGTTGCCCGGGGAAGCGTCGTCGTTGCCTTGGCTGTGCTGTCCATCTGCAAGATTCGAGGTACACCCACCTTGATTGGTCAAGCAATCAAGCCGCACCCAATCAATTCTGAAGGTATTGCACAATGGTCGTGGTGGATGGCTAGCGGCGGCGGCCTAGTCATGCTGCTCGACAAAGCAATTTCTCCACTGCCTGCAATACGCCACCAAGGGCAACACAGCCTCGCGGTGGCTTGAAGAGGCAAGCGCCGGCAAGCACTCTCCACAACAACATGAAAAGATTCCATTAAGGTGCAATGCGTCGCTGGAGTTGCTCGAGGAGCTTTTGCTTGACTTGGTCTCGCGTCCACTGGACAACGCTTTCCAAATTTGCATCGGCTTCATCGTTGTCGTCAATCGAGTCGACGGACCGCTTCAACGACACTTTGGTCGTGATGGCCAAGTGACCCGCTTTCTCCTTGGCAAGGGTTTCCTTCAGCGACGCCAAGCATGCCGTGTACCGAGGCACGAGGGTCTTCATGTGGTTTATATCGTACGCATACGACTGCAGCTCCGACTTCTTTGCCTTGGCGAGCATGCGGGACAGTCCCTTTGTTTGACCTCGCTTGACCAAGGTAATCGCTCGCCCGGCACGACCGGCGCGGGCCGTGCGCCCCACGCGATGGATGTACGTCTTGAGGTACGGAGGGACGTCGTAGTTGATGACGTTGCTGACGTGGGCAATGTCCATACCGCGGGCCATGGCATCCGAGCACACCACGACCTTGATCGCACCATTCTTGCATTGCTGGACGAGTTGCGATCGCTGCTTTTGAGTAAGACCACTGGAGTACTCCCGCACGCCTATGCATCATGACGTCACCAACATTTCATGACGTGATGCGGCTTACTCTGCGGCTCCGACGAGAAGAGCTGCAGCAGACGGCACAGACGATGCGTCGCATTGATCGACGAAGTAAATACAATCGTGAGCTGCGACTCGAACGTGTGCAGCAGCTCGAGCAGCACCAGTGGCTTCTCTGTACTGTCACATTCAATCATGCTTTCGTCCAAATTCGCCGGCGTAGCAAACAAATTGTCGTCCAACGCGTCGTTGACTGTGATGAGTTCAGCGTGGGGCATGCCGATGGCGGCGAGTTTCCGAGGGTTCCGCGTCAGAGTCGCGGAAAGCAAGATGCGAATGAGCGGAATGCGGATGCGGTGGGGGTTCTTGCCGTCCGCCCGGCGGATTGTTGAAGGGTGCAAGGATGCACCCGCGACCAAGTCTACAAGCAAGTCAGACGATGTGGACCTTGTGGCAATGGAACCTTACTTTCGACACTGGTTTCGGTCACGTAGATGCTGTGGTATAGCTTTGTAATCCAGTCTTGGTACGACTGATTCAAAAGGCGATCGGCTTCGTCCACCACAACAAACTGCACGTGTTGCAGGGTGAAATGCGGGGTTTGCTCGATGTGGTCCACCAACCGACCGGGTGTGGCCACAAGGATGTCCACGAGACTGAGCCCATCGGGTCCGATCAAGTGCTGTTGCTCTGTTGAGAAGTTGGATTGACCCATCGCCACGCCGCATGTGAGAGGCGTGCCAGCAATAAGGGCATCGAACACTTTCTTCACCTGGACGACCAAATCGCGCGATGGAACAACAACGACGGCGCGCAATCGACGGACCACGCGCGAAACTAGACGCTGGACAATGGGTAGCACATACACCATCGTTTTGCCGCTACCCGTGGGGGCGTTGATGCACAAGTCCTTGGTGTATCCCGTGGCGAGAATCTTTGGAATCGTCACATGCTGAATTGGAAAAAAAGAATGGATGCCGCAAGTCGCGAGGTTGCGACGGACTTGAGGGTCGAGATCGATGTTGTAGTCTGCTTTGGACCAGTGGACCTCGTCCTCCGCCACGTCGACGGCGACAGTAGCGTGCGCTTCCGCGGCAACCATGGTACTTCGTGATGGTTGGTGCTTGAATTTGATCTTTTATCCGGAAACTTAGTCCGGATATCGCATCCTCTCGTAGCTTTCAAAAGATGTCAAGGTGGCCGCTGTGGTCGATCGCAACGTTTGGCGGCCTCTGTGCCGCTCTTCTGAGCCTCCATGCTCTGGATGCATCGAGATCACCCTCTCAATTGCTTAGGAAGTCAACCCCACCGGGCTTCAGCGATTTCCAGAAGCAGTACCTGTGCGTGTACTGGATCGTCATGTTTGCAGACTGGTTGCAAGGTCCCAACATGTACACGCTGTACCAGGTCATGGCATGGCGCCCAACGATGGGAGCGTCACGTTGTCTTGCTGTAGAGTTACGACATGGATGTCGGAGCGCTCTTCATGATTGGGTTCACGTCGTCCGCCGTGTGTAGCAGTGCCGTCGGTCGCCTTGTCGACACCCACGGCCGCAAACACGCTTGTGTGGTGTTTTGCCTTCTTGAAGTACGCATGACGTAGTACCTCATGCGCGACACGCTCTTGATCTCCTTACACGACTACAGATTGTCATCAACGTGCTCGAACACGTACCGAACTTCACCGTCCTTGCGATTGGACGTGTCTTGGGTGGCATATCCACGGCACTTCTCTTTTCCGCGTTTGAAAGCTGGATGGTGGGCGAGCACCGCCGTCGACGTACGCGTAAAAAACACCCCCTGTTTGATTCAGTTCCTTCTGCCATGAATAGGCTTCCCAGACGAACTCCTAGAATCAACGTTTGCCCTCGCCGCTGAAGGCAACGGGCTCGTCGCCATAGGTGCAGGCGTCGCAGCTCAAGTAGCTTCCGATGCACACGGAGATATCGCACCGTTCCAACTCGCAATTGCAGCGACTCTCGTTGCCTTGCTCTGTATCTGGCACTTGTGGCCATCGGACACTCCGTCGCAATCCTCTGCAGAGCCACACCACTGCGCCACGGCACAGCCATCTACGCCGTGGACATGGCCGGTGCTAGGTCTCGGTCTCACGTACAGTCTGTTTGAAGGTGCCATGTATGTATTTGGTACGCTGAACGGACCTGCGGTGCATCCTGCCGACAACCTCACCACCTCCTCCAGTGTTCCTTTGGGTCCCGGCTCTGCAGTCGCTTTGCGACGACCCGCACCAAGTTCCTGTTGGCCTCGTATTTGCTTCGTTCATGCTGTGCTTGGCCATCGGCGGGAAAGTAGTGCGCGGCGTGCCGCATAGTTCCTTGTCCTCCGTCTTTGCCATCCTCCATGGCGTCGCTGCACTCTGCATGGCCATCTCTGCTGTATGTACTGGTCGTCCTGTGTGGAGCATACCTGAACGCGCTCGTGGTAGATGGAATGGGGGTTTGGGTGGACGCTCGGCGCCTTTCTAGCGTTTGAAGTGGGTGAAATTGCGCTGTCGATACAAAGGTTGTCAATGTGCTTCGTCCTGTAGATCTGCGTCGGCATGTACTTCCCAGTCGCGGCCACGTTGCGGGCCACCACCTTCCCCGAGGCAACGATGAGCACCATCATGACAACGTTCCGCCTTCCCACAAACGCCATTGTGCTCGTGGGCACCCAAATGTTGTCCTGGCCATTCTCATCGTCACATGTCTTTTTGCTTTGCGTGGTGGTCCATGGGATTGCGGCAGCGTTATCCACGACTGTGAATGCGTCGATCCAGCACAAAACATCGAGACATCGCGATTGACACGCCCACCCACAAGATTTCTTAATGCCTTCTTAATGTCGAAGCAGACGCGGTCGACAATTCCGATTTCTTCGAGTCCGACTTGTGAAGGTACACGTACATGAACACGATGAGTACCTGCGCGCAGAGTGAGTCAAGGATTCGGAAAGAGCGCACTCGCTCCATGACAAGGCCAGTCGAAATGAACTTACCAGGACAATCACGACCGCGAGAATGTACAGTTTGACATTTTGCAGCCACAACGTGCGGCGCAGGTTGCGGCTCGACTTTGCGAACGCATCCGCCGACGAGCTAGGGACAACGAGGTGAGGACAGCTGGAGGAAAGGCTCGGGAGAATGGGTACACACGCACTTGAGGGACTCAGACTTGTCGACAAGTAAATCGATCTTGTCTCCTCGCTCGAGCACCTTGCCAATGTTCTGCTGCATGGAATCCTTGACGTTGTCGAGATCCTTCCGCAGCGCTTCGAGTTTTTGCATTCCTCCCTGGGACGACAGCATCTCCATGTGCGTCTTCAGGATCGAACCAAAGTCGCGTTGCATATCGAGTTTCAACTTGGTCATTTTCCCACGGACACCAAACTGTTCCTCAAATTGGGCCTGGATATGCTTGAGGAAGGCCGTGACGGCCCCGCGGCCCACGGATGCGTCCGCCACACATATATATGCCACTTCATTCTCCACAAGGTAGCTGTACGTCTTTCCTTCGCAGTCGATGGCCTCCATCTCCAATTCGATCTTCTCAAAGTTGAGCTTCTTGGTCAGCTGGACAGCGATTTCCTTGACCTTCTTGCCACTGTTCGTCGGACTCATGGCCCCCCCTCCATTATATTCGCACTCAGCGAGCGGGCAATGCTTATTTGCGACCACACAGTACGAGATCGGCATCACCGCAGCGCACTCGACCGCGGCCCAAGGTGTCGATGACCAGTTTGAAAAACGGACGAGTTTTCAACGGCAGCAGGCGGTCACCCATCGCAAATTTTTTTGCAATAGATAAAAAAATAATGTATTCCCTGGGAGCGACCAAATGTTGGAACAGTATTATTTACAGTTGGAGAAATAAATAGTTCGTTGTTGTATAGAATAATGAGATCGCGGATCGATGCTGCACGTTCAGCAGCACACCAGAAGCGCCTGACCGAAGTAGATGGAGCTCGGGCAGTACGAGTCGGTCCGGGCAAGCGTGTATGGCGCTGTGGACTTTCCTGCGACGCAGCCAACTGTTGTCTTGCAGACGCTGTTCACGATGGACGAGGATGAGTCGCCAAACATGACAAGGTATGGCACGCAATTGGCCGCAGGCGTCGTCGACGAAGTTGATGCGGCCACGGTACTGTTCACTGCGTTCCACAGCCACTCGAGCAAAGATTTCAACAAGTTTCCATCGCTCGATGTTGGTGCTGGAGTTGGTTTCGGTGTTGTCGTTGTGGCGACTGGATTCATTGTCGGCGTCGCAGTCGTTGTAATCGGCGAAACTTTTGTGGTTGGAGCTAGAGTCGTTGCTGTTGCCATCGTGGTCGTTGGGGCTAGAGTCGTCGTTGTCACAACGGAGGTCGTGGAAGCAGCGGTGGAAGGGACTCCAGTCGCACCTTCGGTACTTGTTGGGGTCGTTGGTGCAGTCGTGCCAGCGAGAACTCCATTCTGCGTCGTCGTCGTGGGAGCTTTGGTCGTGGCTGCCGGAGGAAAAACACACTGCCAAACCTGCGCCACGTACGTACACACAGCATCTTGCGGGGCAACGCACGTCCCCGTCGCGGCATTCCACGACCTCATTGTCGAGTTGCAAGGGGCTCCCGATGACACCGTGCCTTGAAGTGGGCACAACGTGCCCTGGGGAGCGCAAGTCCCGGTGCCGCCACACAGAAGCGCCTTGGACGCAGCGGACACTGCGAATGACGAGTCGTTGACAACTGCAACGATCCAAGTTCCTGGCGCAATCGTGATGGCGGGAGGGGACGTAGAGCACCCCTGCGATGGAAATATGCACCCCCATGTGCCACCGGATTGATTCGTCCCGGTCACAAGTCCACACACAGCGTCTTCAGGTGCAACGCAAGCTTTGGTTGTGGCATTCCACGACGGAATCCCGGGACCACAGCCAACCACAGGGACATCCCCCTTCAGTGGGCAACGCTTGCCAACCGATGAACAACCATCGCCTCCGCAAATTGGCACGCTTCCCGCAGGTGATGATGGAAATCCATACGTTGCATCTTTGCAAACGCTCACCAGTGTCAATCC